TGGTTTAAAACCTATGGTTTATTGTGCCAGTAAACTCGAAAAGATTGTGAATCACGAGCCGAAGGCGAGAGATTCACCATCCCCGGAGACCCAGGGGCAGTCAGTCGGGTCGAGAAAAAAGGCGGGACGAAAGTTTTCAAGTACGGGCAAAAGAGTTCCTGGGTACCGACTCTCTCGTAATTTGTTACCATGGTTACCCCTTGTTACCCCTCTTACCCCTATTCCGCCTTGTTACCCCTTGTTACCACTGTTACCCCATATTACCGCTTGTTACCCCTGTTACCCCATATTACCCCTCTATTCCGCCTTGTTACCCCTTGTTACCACTGTTACCCCATATTACCGCTTGTTACCCCATATTACCCCTTGTTACCCCATATTACCCCTTGTTACCCCTGTTACCCCTTATTACCCCTGTTACCCCTTGTTAACCCTGTTACCATTTGTTACCCTTGCTACCCCTGTTATCCCTTCTTACCCCTTGTTACCCCTGTTACCCCTTGTTACCCATTGTTACCTTTCGTTTCCCCTTGTTACTCTTGTTACCCCTGTTACCCCTTGTTACCTTTCGTTTCCCCTTGTTACCCCTGTTACCTCTTGTTACCCCTGTTACCCCTTGTTACCCCTTGTTACCCCTGTTACCCCTTGTTACCCCTGCTACCCCTTCTTATCCCTTGTTACCCCTGTTACCCCTGATACCCCTTGTTACACCGCTTATCCCTCGTTACCCCTTTTACCCCTGTTTTCCCTGTTACCCCTTGTTACCCCTGTTACCCCTTGTTACACCGCTTATCCCTCGTTACCCCTTTTACCCCTGTTTTCCCTGTTACCCCTTGTTACCCCTGTTACCCCTTGTTACACCGCTTACCCCGCTTACCACTGTTACCCCTTGTTACCCCTTTAACCCCCTTGTTATTCTTTGTTGCTCCTTGGTACCCCTTTTACCCCTTGTTACCCCTGGTTACCCCTTTTACCCCCTTGTTATTCCTTGTTGCTCCTTGGTACCCCTTTAACCCCTTGTTACCCCTGTTACCCCTTATTACCCCTTTTACCCCTTATTACCCCTGTTAATCCTTGGGACCCATGTTACCCCTGTTACCCCTTGTTACCCGTTGTTAACCCCTGTTACCCCTTTTTATCCTTTATTACCTTTGTTACCCCTTGTTACCCTTGTTACCTCTTGTTATTCCTGTTATCCCCTTTTACCCCTTTTTACTCCCTGTTACCCGTTGTTATCCCTGTTCTTCGTTGTTACCCCTGTTCCCTCTTGTTCTTCGTTGTTACCCCTTGTTACCCATTGTTACCCCTGTTATTATTTGTTACCCCTTGTTACCCCTTGTTACCTCTCGTTACTCCTGTTCCCCCTTGTTACCGCTATTACCCCTCGTTCTTGTTCGCCCTGTTACCCCTTTTGCCCCTTGTTACCCCTTTTATCCTCTAGTTTCTCAAACGTCGCCAGAATTAGTAGACAACGAAATTTATTCTGGTGGTTCAGGTTCGTCTAATTTGTCTAGTTTTTTTACAAGCTAAACGTGGTTTCAAATTTGTCTGTGTGAAAATTAAAAGTCTCGTCAAACATGTTGACGATTTTAGAGTCTTTTTTGGTGAGTTTTCATTTGATATTTTGGCAATTAATGAAATCAAACTTGACGAATCCATAAAAAGTTCCGAACTCCATATATTAGGCTATGAATTTATTCGTCGTGACAGAAATAGACATGGAGGAGGGGTAGGTTTTTACATTAAGTCTTCTAATTCTTATATAGTTCGCTCCGATCTTAACGTAATATAATTCTATAGTTAAAATTTAACTATAGAAATTCGTAAACCGAACTCTAAGCCATTTCTAGTAGCAACATGGTACAGACCTCCCTGTTCTCCAACCGATTTATTTTCGAGTTACGAGTCATTTACAGGCAAATTAGATTCTTTCGACCTAGAGTATTTGTTCGTTGACTTAAACTGTAATTTGGCCTCTCCTACACCTGATGCAAACACTCATCGTTTTTACTCTAGATTTCGGATTTATATGGGCTCAAACAACTAAAAAATAAACCAACGCGTGTTACAAAATCCTCATCTACACTAATTGATTTGATCTATACAAATTATACAGACAGAGCAGGCTGTTCCGGTTTCTCCCATATTGCCCTCAGTGATCATGGTCTCGTCTATGTTTATCGGAAAATATCTTCTGATTTACCATTTAAGGGACACTCTTCCATCTCTTACAGAAATTTTCGAAATTTTGATCGTGAAAATTGTCGAAATGACATCTCGCAACAAGACTGGTCGTTCAATGAATTTGGTATGGTCTAACTGGAAAACAAAATTTTTGCGCGTTGTTAACTCACATGCTCCTTTTCGAACTAGACGTACTAAACTGAACAAAACACCCTGGATTAATTCAGCCTTGAAGAAAGGTATGCCCTGTCGCGATGCTGCTAAGAGGAAAGCGATAAAAACGAAGAATCCTCAAGACTGGGGCAATTGCAGAAAGCTCCAAAATCGAATCAACAATAAAGTGAAAACCACTAAGGCATCCTATTATCACAATAGTTTTATTCAATCCGAAGGAAATGCTCGACGGGCTTGGAAAACTACTAACAGCCTGATGTCTCGTCGTCAGAGCAACCAGATAGTGAAGGATGTGAAAGTAAATGACATCTCTATCTGTAACTCTAACGAGATTTCCAACGCCTTTAACGAACACTTCTCAACTATTAGCCCCAGACTAGCCCGCGAAATACCTTTAACTTCGGACGAGGGGTCTCTTTATTTAAAAAATATTACTGAAAATTAAAACAAATTCTGTTTTCTTCTAACTACTACCAGTGATGTCTTTACCCATCTAAATAAATTGTCAAAAACTAAAGCTACAGGGCTAGCTACAAAAGCTGAATTTATGTTGATCGGCTCCAGGCAAAGATTAAGTACTCTGTCTGATACACTCGAACTTTCCATTGATAATGTTCCGATTGAACAAGTTCCCTCTGTGAAATCACTTAGAATATATATCGATGAAAATTTAACGTGGCATTCCCACATTGATAAACTGTGTAAAAAGATCGCTTCTGCAATTGGAGCCATAAAGCGAGTTAAGCCATTTGTGCCCCAATCCATCCTACTCAATATATACTACTCACTAGTTCAATCTCACTTTGATTACTGCAGCCTAGTCTGGGGTAATTGCGGCAAAACATTATCTAACAAACTTCAAAAACTGCAAAACCGTGCTGCACGAGTAATAACTTCATCAAACTTTGACGTAGCTGTCGATTCCTTGTTTCGCAACTCAGATGGAAAGACTTGAAATCTCAACGTCAAATTCAGAACGCCTTAATGGTTTTCAAGTCTTAAACGGGCTGGTTCCCGAATATTTTTTGTCTAAATTTATAAAGCGAAATGAATCAAACTGTTCTCCGAGGGACTCGAAAAACAAACTTGTTGTCCCCTTTTCAAGAACTAACTACATGAAAAATAGTTTTAGTTACAGCGGCGCAACCCTTTGCAACAGCTTTCCCTGTAACATTAGAAATGAATGCGTGACAAACGAACCCCAAAGGACGTCTGCGGAGAGGCTAAGAGTCTGGTTCATTAAATCAATTTAAACGACTTCTCTATCATAATTTTAAACAAAGCATTCATGGAAATCAGGTTTCCTAAGTGGCATATTGTTGTAAGTTAATATCATGTTAGGATTAGGATTTTTAGGTTTTAAAATGTTAGTCATAGTATTAGAATTTATTGTACATGATGAAATTTTCACGGTGTATAAATAACGATTAAAGATTTAAGATTAAAAGACTCCCTCTTGTTTTACCTGTTACCCTTGTTACCTCAGTTCCCCCTGTTCCCCTTCCTTACCCGTTGTTACCCCTGTTACCTCTGTTTCCCCTTGTTACCATTTGTTACCTCTGTTCCACCTTGTTACCCCTCTTCCCCCTTGTTATCCCTGTACCTTTTTGTTACCCCTTGTTTCCCCTGTTACCTCTGTTCCCCCTTGATACCCCTGTTCCCCCATTTTACCCCTTGTTACCCATGTTCTCCCATTTTACCCATTGTTATCCCTGTTCCCCCATTTTACCCCTTGTTACCCCTGTTACATATATATACATATAACGTGTACATAAGGTGTATAAGGGTGTATATAAGGGGAATATGGGTGTATTTAAGGTGTATAGTGGAAGTATATGCCTGTATATAAGGTGTATATCAGGCGTATATGGGTGGTATATAAGGGGTATTTCAGGTGTATATGGGTGGTATAGAAGGTGAATATGGGTGTATATACGACGTATTTGGGTGTATATAAGGTGTATATGCCTATAACGTTTATTATGATTGGAGTATATAACGTGAATATGGGTGTATATAAGGTGTATATGGTTGTATACAAGCTGTATATGGGTGTATATAAGCTGTATATGGGTGTATATAAAGTGTATATGCGTGTATGTAAGAAAAAAGTGTTTCCTTAAAAGAAAAATTACACCGTGACGGAATATTCAGTCATTTTACTGTACAAAAAAGCTGAATGCTCAACAATACAAGGCTAAAAAGGACATTGTCTGGTAAAATGTTTGTTCTTTAGTTGGAGTGCATTTGCCTTGTGTACATTTGGTACCTACTTATTAAGCAAAGCAACGTAACCATAGCAGAGAGTAAAAAGCACAATTTGATTGACCCTTGTTAAGTCATTAATTGTTTTGTGTTTTATAATAATAAGTCAAGGCTGTAGAGCCAATTTGTATGCAAATGACGACTAGTTAACTCTCAAAATTAACTGACGAACGGCGCGTTGCTTTAATATCGGAATTGTTGGTAAGAGCCATCGTAACAAAAAAAAGTTACAACCTCTATTAAATCTGTTCGATTTCTTCCCTCCAAAATTAGGCTACGAAAAGGTTTGACGAAAAGTGGTGGGCTTTTATGTTCAAAGAACAACGGGCCGGGCTCGCTAAACTGTGACGTCATTACTAGTGCTTGCCTGAACGTCGTTAGCATAAATTAAACAAGTTTCCCGCGCATTTTATTCATGAGCTATCTATTAAATTTTACTCCCCAGTTTTTACACTCCCCAAAAATTCGGCTAATTCTCCTCAGACGCCACTACTCTTATCCCCAACACACCGTTATCCTGTGTACAAGACATGTATGAGGATTATGAGTGAGTCACTTTAGACAGTTTAAAAATCAGGTTACTATATGACGATCAATACCGATTTTGTATATCAATCTATAAATTATATATATGAGCATATTTTTCTTCTGATATCAAATATCCTTGTTGTTTTGGAACGAAGAATCATAGCAAAATCTGATAAATAAAATTATTGTAAGAAAAAATGGAATCTACAAAATTGCTAGCCCTAATCAGCAGAAAGCAGCGGATTCTTTCGAGAAGGCTCAGGCAAGCCCCATTTAGCGCGGATGGACTGCCGTAACCTCAAGCTTCTTTGCCTTTCCAACTTCTCCTCATTCTTACTGGGGAGCTTGAAATTTCTTCGGAAATAGTTCTTTGGTCGACGCTCACTCTTTACCCGACGGAAATCTCCATCTCCAAGCAGACTGTCGTCTTTGGAAACATCTTCGTGACTGGTTGAGGTACGAATTTGTACTAGAGGTTTCGATCTGTTGTCATCGTCTGCAGGGGGTGAACTATTTGAGGCAAAGAAACACTGTTATTAACTGATTACAAAGAAACAATCTGACTCGTGTTTTGCAATACATAAGGAAGGAAAAGATTTGCACATAAGAAAGGTAGCTTTACGATATTCTTCAATCATTGGCAATAAACTTGACGGAGGTTTTTATTTATAAACAAAGCAGTGTTCAAACGTCGGATAGCGCTGTCTACTAATTAGTACCATCCAGTGGAAAGCCAATCGAGTTACCTACTGATTACATTTATTCCGAGATAACACTATCCATCTTTAGGGCAACTGTAGACTACGAGTAGGCCCCATTTTTCCTCTAGGATATTAGAGCGAGCAAAACGCGAGCGCGCTTGAAAATCACCCCTCCCGAGAAAGACGAGGCGCTATTTTCTTCTATCCCTGAGGAAAAATGGGGACTACTCGTAGTCTAGGGCAACTGGGACTACGATTATGCACCTACAATGTAAAAGCTGTCAAGTTTGGGCATTGCTTATCATGAAAATAAAAAACACGTTGTTAAATCGTCGCAGCACTCCAAAGAAGTATTAAGATAAGTTAATTGAAGGTGTATGTAATAATAAATCCATCATTGTCTTTTAATACGTATTCTGGAGATATTTAATTAAGGGCCTGTTTACATGGAGTGGGGGACCCCGGTCTTGTGGGGTTGGTTTCTTTTGTTTTTACTCTCTGGGGAACACAAAACAAAAGAAACCTACCCCACTAAACCGGGGTCCCCCACTCCATGTAAACAGGGTCTAAAAAAATCCCTCGCTACCAAAAGAACGTAAACTTTTCACCGCCCCACCCCTTCCCCCACATTAGGGAGATTAAGCATTAACGACGGCAATAGTGGCGACGGCTACGAAGTGTGTTCGCGCTGCTTCAAATTTAATCTTTCTCCCGAGAAAGACGAGGCGCTATTTTCTTCTATCCCTGAGGAAAAATGGGGACTACTCGTAGTCTAGGGCAACTGGGACTACGATTATGCACCTACAATGTAAAAGCTGTCAAGTTTGGGCATTGCTTATCATGAAAATAAAAAACACGTTGTTAAATCGTCGCAGCACTCCAAAGAAGTATTAAGATAAGTTAATTGAAGGTGTATGTAATAATAAATCCATCATTGTCTTTTAATACGTATTCTGGAGATATTTAATTAAGGGCCTGTTTACATGGAGTGGGGGACCCCGGTCTTGTGGGGTTGGTTTCTTTTGTTTTTACTCTCTGGGGAACACAAAACAAAAGAAACCTACCCCACTAAACCGGGATCCCCCACTCCATGTAAACAGGGTCTAAAAAATCCCTTGCTACCAAAAGAACGTAAACTTTTCACCGCCCCACCCCTTCCCCCACATTAGGGAGATTAAGCATTAACGACGGCAATAGTGGCGACGGCTACGAAGTGTGTTCGCGCTGCTTCAAATTTAATCGCGCGTATTCCATTTCGTTCATTTCGTCAAATGTTGGGTAATTTTTCTGGAGTTGAGTTCTAACGGACTGTATCCAGTTCAGAAAAAGAAAAAGAAGGTCGTTGTCTTGTGCTCGTCCTCCACAAAACGTGAAATTAAGAAGTTTCAGGTCGTAGTCTTTGATAGTACGCACCTCCTAAAAACCTCTAATTTCATTGCCGTAGTCGTGCAACGAGGGCAAAGAAATGTACAAAAAGCGTGATACATGTGCAGAGTTGTTGTTCTGCCAGTCTAAACCTATTACTTTTTTGCCGTTCTCGTTGGTGTCGCCGGAATTCCCCGCGGGATTTACATTGACAGGCGCCCTAACTACTCCGTCCAAGTCTCCTTCCCCGCCGCCTTATTCAGATTACCTGTCGAATTCATACAACAGGGAAAAAGTGAAGAACAAGGATGAGAAAGGAACTTTACACCCATTAATTAGTTATAACCCTCTCACTGCTACTCACTGCGTTTACATGATAAGACTTACAAAACTAAACTTGCAGGAGGAGGAAGCGGTGGCGCATCGTTTTCAGCCCCAGGCTTTGTTTTCATTTTCTTTTTCATTTCCTTCTTTAACTTTTCGTTTGGTTCAGATCCTATGAAGCGGTCTTTGTAGAACCATCCTTTGATGCTGAAAAACAAACAAATCAAATCCATCCACATAAAGGAAAACAAAAATTGACAGATTATTAATAGCAAATATGGTGATAAAACAAATTTTTACGACGCAGAAATAATAGCCCTTGACCAACATATTTCATGGAAAGAAAGTCTCGTTTTGGAATTGTCAAATTACAAATATTCACAACGATAAATTCCTCGTACGTTTGAATTGAAAAGAATACTCGCTCAATGACAGTACAATACAAAACACAAACGAGGATTGGCGGTGAAATTAAAAGGACCCATCCAACCGTATGCGTTTTCATTTTGAAACTAAACGGATTTTCCTCCACGGATTTACCTTCCGCCCATACATATCCGACGAAAACATTTATAACAGAGTTCAAAGAGAAAGATCTCGGAGGTTTACTGGGTTATAGAGCCCAGGAACATTAGATAACTTTGTCTACCCAAAAGTCAAGGATCATTTTATAATGATTCAAATATAAAAAAAATATCCGTTTTCGAACACGTGTGCATTGACGAAAGCGACTAAAAAGTGTTATGTGTAAACGAGATGTTTTAAGGATGCACAGAAAAAATAAGAGCGTATATATGAAAACAAGAAGAAGCACATGCTGGTCAACCCGTCTGATAATGCAGTGAGACAAAGAGGATGGACTGGAACCGAATTTCTTATTTTTATGTCACGCAATGGTGACCAATGATCGCAATTTCTGAGCGCAATCTGTCGCGTGCTGTCCATGCAATTTCGTGAGGAACTATTTATTTCATCATTTTTTACGTCATAAATATCTACTCCACAGAACAAGAAAATAAAAATAACATTGAATTAAAAATTCATAGGAGGAAGTCTCCAAAAGCACCATACAAAGTGGGGACTCTAAATTTAGGTATTATTTGGGGATTTTTTAATTTAAAGAAGTAAGTACATAAAAAATTCAGGTCTTCTCGCTTACGTTCCATATTTTTCTTGGTATCAACTTCAGATTTTGAAAATATTTGCCTTTAAGGCAATAAAAAGTTCACATAGGCAGAAGGGCTTGAAGTTTGACTACCCCATACGGGCAAAATATTCACAACACAATAGGGGGCATGAAGACCGCAATATTTATCGCAAACGTAAATTCCAAGATTACACCCAAATCATTTCATGATCTATTATTTATAATTTTCAACTACTCTGTGCGGCGATTCCACATCCTGGTAGAGCTGCTTACTGTGTTCGATATTGAAGCAATACTTCAAGAACAATGGTATGATCTAATTGATTTTTGTAATGGCTTATATTCCAACGAAAGGGGTTTTGTCGGTTCAATATTTTACTTGGAAACAATCCACCCTTTAATTGCACATTAAACATGTCAAATATTCGTCTATTCAAGAAGGCGAATTTAGCTTCTTTAGGACTATAGCCGAATTTGAGAAATTTGCATTCGCTGCTATCGACATTGTAAACATAATAGAGATAAGCTACAAAAGTCTTATTAAAATCACTTTTAAATTCAACATTTTCGTTTGAAAGAGCTTAGAAAAACAACGAACTTACTCAGTGAATCAGGATCTCAAAGAAAAACGAAGTAATATGTTTATAAAGAGCCAAATGTAATTAAAATTACCCTGAGAACTACCGGAAGTAACTTGATGTCCATATCAAAGTAACGACATTACATACATGAATAACCAAGTTTTTGGTTTGCACTCAGAGGCCTTAACGATGATGTTAGATTTCTATACCTTTTACCACTTGCGTAGGTGTAAAGTCCATATCCGTGTTTCATTCCTTTCTTCCAATCGCCGTCGTAAATGTCGCCATTTTGGTAGCAATACACTCCTTCGCCTTTTCGCTCACCGAATTCATCGACTCCTCCAGAGAACTTCTCGACATCTACAAAATCGCCCTCGATTATTTTGTCCCTTTTGTGATCTTTAGCGAGTTTTCCACCCATTCCAATGAGGTTAACATGTGCAACTCCGGCACTAAAAATATATAGCTTGCATGAAATCGAATCGGCTACTGGAGGCGGTGTCGAGTGAGCAGTGTGGCACAATAAAGCTGTCATGTTATTGACTGACTGATTAACTAGAGTCGCGTTTGATTAGTAAAGACCGTGACGGACGGGGAGGAGGGGGTAATTATTTTTCGTCAAATGGTACTTTTAACAGCATGAATCACTTGATTTCAATGTGACCCTTCATTAATACTATTAACGACGAAAGTTTTTCCGCATGTTTTCCCGACAATTTAGTTCTCCTGATGAAACGCGTACATTAGAGGAAGACTAACGCGCTTAGAGTGAAATTTATATACTGAAGCCTGGTTTCCATATGATCTTCTGCCCGATCGCTCAAGTCGTTTCAAAAAATCTCGAGACGATCCGGACGACTGGGACGATTAGTAGTTTCTATATGATCGTCTCGATCGCCCCAAAGGCTACAGACACGGGGTCGTGAGAGATGTCTCTGGTCTAAGGTGGGTACTCTTGGGAATTCTTGGTGGGGGTGTGCCGCCCTGTTCTTCAAATCCTGACCCTATTTCAGACCAAAAAATGTCATTTTGCACACCCGTTTTCAGACCAGACCTCTAAAATCTATACCCGTTTTCAGACCTGGCCTTAAGACAGAAATTATGTCATCATTACTTAGAATAGAGCGCACACATAAAATTCTTCAAATCCATTTAAAATTCGAATATTTCTCTTTCTGTCTTACTCATTTGGATTTAAAACGATAAATACGTTCATACACTCCCGTAGTTCTCTCGAAAACCATACCCGATTACAGACCAACATGGGCAAAATCTATACCCGTTTTCAGACCAAAAAGGCGCAAAAACCTATCCGATGGGGCGGCACATACTACCTGTATAGTTTATATAAGGGAGTACCTCCCGGGGTCTCTGGGTGACTCAATAGAATTTTTGCGCGTGTTTCGCAAACAAACCAAACCTAATGATGATTTTTATTTGGAGAGCGAACCTCGAACCTTGCTATGTCTGCTATGTGCTTTTTCTCTCGATTTTGCTTTGTCAAAAAATCAAAACGACTTCTCGACTTTTTCAGTCCTGCCATGAAATGCGTCTGTTAGCCCTTGGGTCTTTTTATCAACTAAAATAGCAGGTTTCCCTATCCTTTTATATACTGCAACAAGTGAAATTCCAACCCTTTCATGTACCTGAAGCCTGAAAAGGTACCCCTTTCGGGCGGAGCCTCCCCATAAAGTGCATTATAGAGAGTACTTGCCTACAAGTCTAGCTCAAAATTTTTTTCGAGCGCGAAGAGCGAGCTAGAAATTTTAAATGTTTTAGAAAGTCTATATAGACTATATAGGGAGTACCTCTTCGTGCAAATACGTAGTAGTACTAAAAAGCCCCAATACCAGCCCGAGCAGTGCAGGTAACAGTACAGGCCAGTTTTTACTTCGTGACATGTATAACCGTTACAAACCGGGACCAAACAATCCTTCAAACCAGGAAGATTCAAATCGAAAATAACTCGTGAGAAACGCTGCCCAGAAAATCCTACATCATGCAAAAAAGAAAAAAAACAATACAAAGTGACAAAGTCTTTTATTGTAAAAGAACTGCTTTTTTCCCTGAAATTCATAAGGTGCAAAGACTGCATTCTAAATGGCCTTTCTCACAGCCAGACTTACAGCACTGGGGCGTTTTATCAAGACTTACTGAACTACCGTACAGTTTATGTTACATTTGATATTAGAATATTTAATACGTCAAGTGGATCTCAAGTGTTTCATTTTATTTAGTCTCTTGCAAACCCAACACTACTGCACCATCAATGTCTTTGCCACCTTAAATGCTAATCTAATGTTGCACTAAATGAATGTCAGTGGCGATTCACTTGAACTGGATTGATATGGTTAATACTCATTTTAGATCAGTTTTAACACTCTCTTAGTGGATCTTATAATTAGGCGTAAGAAGTAAAACGTTCAGTGAATGAGCATGTAAAGTAATTATCAGTAAAAAGTGTCGAGATCAGGAAGAAAATGTACAATACCTTAAAGGGTCTCTATAAATATTGACATTCTTTTAAATTTTTTTCACGGCATTGTTCGTTTCATTAAATATTTTTAAATTTTCCTGCAAATTCATTTAGAAAATGTTCTCATTCTCTCTTGTCCTATCATATCTTCTGACGGTCTCTATTTTGCAATACATTCTTTTAGTAGTATGCCAGCCATTTTGGATAAATTGTGTACGCTTGCTGCAAAGACTTGTTCTTGCTCTTCAGGGGTATCAAAATCTGTAAAGAAAAATATTTAATAATGCTGGATGACAGCTGTCGTATGTTACACGAATCTTTGAGGTGGCTTGAACTTGTGCTAAGCAAGCCCCAGGATTTCAATTCCCATGGAGAACAATTTTAGTTTAATTCCCTACCCAGAATCTGAAACCATCCGTGACAATTTTTTGGTTCCGTGGAAATTCATGGGAACCCACATCTTAAGTGTTTTCAGTTTTGGAAGTCATATATATTTTTTCTTGGTCCTGAAAGCCGTAAAATCAGTATTACGTTCAATGCACTTTGGAAACAATTTAAGATGGCAAACAAAAGAAAGATGATATGCTAATCAACGTTTTAGTTTCGTATTCGGTATATAACCCGCAGTAAATTGACCGGGAACCCAATTTCGGTCCCGTTATTTTGAGACCACGGTACCGGAAACAATCATTACCATGAAATATTAGGGCTTGCTGTGAGAAGAGTGTTAAAAGACACTCCCAGTTCCAGTCCCTGTCTGGTTCCAAAGAGAACAAACTCTATTTCAGACCAAAGTAGTAAAAATATATGCCCAGTGTCCGACCAGGAGGGCTCAAACTGAACTATGTATATAACGTTTTATCTTGATAGCTTTTATGAGGAAGTCCAAGTCTTCGTCATACAATCCAGTGATATTCTTATAAAACCAGTGGTAGTACACTAGAAAAGATTTAGCCCAAGCAGCCTCCTGACTCTTTATTTCCAAGGCAAAAAGTAATTCCTGAAGCCCTTTTGACAATTTTGGTGTCTGTTATATTAGAGATTAAATTATATTTTTTTTATCGCAGAGTTTTCAATTGAAGTTATATTCTATCTCAGGGGCACCCAATGGATCTGTTCCTTAAAATATCTGTTCTTCAGGCACATTTTTGCTGGCTGGGAGATGTGAAAGAAATAATAGGAAAGTGTTGCTGGGAAAAATATAATTCAGGGTGTCAGAGGGGATTTGAAGTCTAGAATAGCTGGTACGGGTTACTTGTATGGGTTACTTACCACTCAAGATCTGAATTGTGCCCTATGAAACTGCCCAGTAAGTCAGGTTCCAAGTTGTAAGGTTGCTGGCTGGGAACTCTTCCATCAGTCTTGCTGGGAGTGAGGAACAGATAATTTTTTTTCCAGCAATCTCCCAAATTGCTTAAAATAGTCTCAGAAAACTTTATTCACGCTTTGTTGTTGTTTTTAGGTCTTTTTCTCAAAATTTCCCGTTGGGTGCCCCTGCTATCTGCGTACACCTCTCATCATTAGCGAGTCTGGCACCACCAATAAGTGAAGTCAACTTAGCTATGTTTGCCTCGGCACATGTTTGTACATACCAAAGTCTTCCTGTAACCCTTCACCAAGGCTAAGTATGTTCTCTTCCCACACATTGAACAGTGATGATACTAGTGCAGCCTGATCTTTACTGCTTTGCATCGCTCTTAGAACTTCCTGCAAAGTGCTTGTGAAACTCTTCACCCCTGTGTCTTTTCCATGCGTAATGTCTTCTTGACCTAAAACCTGGAAAGTAAGCATTAAAATCCTTCAAATATTACTACGTTTTAGAAGATCTTTTAATAATTTTTTTGCTTTACTATTAGTTACTCTCACTATGTAAAAGCACATCAAAGTTACAACGATCTGTTACCTGTCCTAGATAATAGCCAAGATAGGATAGTTCATGAACTCTTCCATTTATAGCTTTATTTCCAAGTACTTCAAAGCAAACTGTTTCCCCGCAAAGCTTAAGCAGCTTCGCAACGTTCTCCATGCACCAGTCTGTTGGTGTACCTTAATGGTACAGCATAGAGATAAACAAAAAATAGTGGTGTTATCGGTAATCAGACATACGCCACATTCATGGATTATTTATGGCACAGTAAAAGCCCAGGAACTTCACTGAAGAAACTGCAAACGTACAGAAATGTTGACAATTGTAACCCCCCACCACCACCACCACCATTTTTAGCATTCATCGGAAAAGATAACTACGTTACAACGTAGTGGCGGATCCAGACCTTCAGATAAGAGGGGGGGGGGGGGTTCGTCTGAAAAAGGGGGGACCGGGCCCCCTGGGCCCCTCCCCTAGATCCGCCTCTGATAACGTGTTTAAGCCAACAAATTATGACTTCAAATAAATAAATGGTCATTTCAATACTTGACTACAACAAACTTCCACCAAGGGCTTCTTTGACATAGACTGTGATATTTACATGTATTATAGTTGCGCAGACACTGCGTCGTAAAATCATGAAATATAATATGGTTCAGTATTCCGATCGACCATTCGTCTGTGATTGTTAAAAAAGGGAATACCAACCCGTTAACTCCTCAAAGACGCTGATAAAATCGTCGCCATTCCAGTCTTTGTTGTCACTGTATACGTGCAAGACTTTTAAAGCATCTGCAAGTTCTTTTAATTCGGCGTCTTCCACTCCAAGATATGTTGGGCAACTTTCCACTATACTCCACTCTATTGTTCCTGCAATGTTGGTTATCAAGAAATCTTAGGAGTTTTTTAATGACAAAGTCTTACGTTGTAAAAGGGACTTACAAGCAACACTTCTTACCGTTGTCATCATTGACTGGTCCATAAAGGATGTAAAGGAGACGAGCTTGGAAGACAAGGGGCCAAGGCTTAAGTATCTTAGAAAGCCAAAATCCTTTCTCCCAAAGATCACTTGATTTGTCCAAGAATATTTCTCGGCAGAAGACTCTGATGTATCTTTCGTACCACGGTTGTGATCCTGGTGTAGAGCGCAGGACCTGCCTTATTCTGTCATCTAAACAAGAAGCGCCTGTAGAAAAGAAAAAAGGTAGTTCAGTACTGGGAAGTGTAGGTACATGCGTTGAAGACATAACTTTCTAGGCAACGCTAGAGCAGTTTTTTTTAATGATCTCTACATCGTAATTATTCAGTAAGTATGAATCACGTTACCTGAGACACAGAATTTAAATGAGAAGACTGAGAGCCATCCTGAGTGGTAACGTACAGGGGCGTAGCCAGCTTTTTTAATAGTTGTAGGCCTTTTTAGCTCACCCCAACAACCCATAATTTACTTGCATTACAAGCGGTAGAGTGATCAAGCCAAAAATTTATAAGCCCGGGCCTACAGGTGTATGGGCTGGCTACACCCCTGACTTATGTCGTTCCTCTGTGAGACTGCTCGGACGTCCGACTTTTTCCAGGCCCAGATTGTTCAAATGCTTGGTCAGATAACCCAGGGTTAGTGCGAAATTAAAGTTCAGATATGAAAGCTTAAAAAGGAAATTCATTTGAATTCTTTTTGTCAGCCATTTATGATTGGACGCTTCAAAAAAAAATAGAGATCCGAGAAAATTCTTTTGAAGAAAAGAGAAAGAATTTTAAGCACGGTTTAATGCTAATCGACCCTCGAACAACTGGGCCAAGGGGTTCAGATAGCAGACACAAAGCCAAAGCGTTAGACGAGGATATGCAATGCCAAGGACCAAGGCCCGTGAAAACTTCTCGCCACCTCTCCTCCGCATTTTTCTTTCTTTCTTTTTTTTTTTATTTCCCTTCTCTGTTTCGCAGTGCTGCGCTTGCTACCTGAATATCTGATACAGGCTAGATCTTCCTTTGAAGTAGACAGTTTACTTTTTTTTTTCATTTACGAAGGCAAGAGATCATAATAGGAGCTATCCTAAGGTCCTATTATGATCTCCTGGAATGGCAAAAGCTACGCATTACATTTGGCCGAAGACTGTTGTAAAGACTTCAGTATAGTGTTAGTAATGCAATCCTATAATGACTCTTTTTCTGAGGTATATCGTATACTATGAAAAATATAATAATGTAATTTGCGGCCGTTTATCACGTTTAAAATAGATATATGGATGGTGGACTTTAATAATTGCATGCAATTATATTAACAGTCTTTCTTTCAAACCTTTAATCGCAAGATAAGCTTTGAACTTCTCATCGTCTTCCCATCCAGCTACAAAGGAATGGAGAAATTTTCCGTAGCAGCTGTAAGCTATATCACTACCAAGTGTGGTGCAGATCTTCGTGTGAGTGTCTTTCAGCTGAAAATTTGTGAATAAAAGAATCTATTATAAAGGTGAAAGGAGGAAAACCCATTAGAATTGACAAGTGCAACACTACTTACACGAAGCATGATTTACAAGCCCTGCCCCCCTTCCAAAGTAACGATATGTCCTAATTATTGTTCCTTGCGAATAGATGTTGTTGTTGGGAAGCCGATGCAGTGTATATTTTTACGCTCCATATGGAATATACCGGAAATAATATCCTTTGTTAAACGAGGAACCTATGCATCTAAAATATAAAAATACAAAAAAGAGAGGACATTCTTTCTCGATGAGGAACTGAAAAGTTAGAATTTTTTCGATTTCCGTTCTTTGCTACAAACCAAAGTTATTGAAAGTCATAGAAATAGGTAAACAAATAAAGGGTGGCGAGCCTCTCTTGTGGAGGTGGAACGCTCTATAGCTAAATACCCATGGATGAATACCTTATCAAGAATAATTCCAACTTCTTTTAACCTTTCTTTCGTTGAAAGAAGGCACGTTGCTCTTTTTACCAAGATGCCTAAAAGAAACCAAAAATAACAACGACGACGACAAATTGAGTGGCTTGTGGGACATTAATGGTTGTAAAGATAGAGTTAAATGAGTTGCAAATTAAGGCCTACCCAGCTCATTAAAATGGTTGCAACAGTATTCAGTTTCCAAAGTCATGAAATGCTGGGAGGATTCCTCGTCACTGTTGAGATGAATTCTCGGGACGATAATCAGCAAGCCCTCGTTGTCGTGAATGTATTCAATGATCTCGTCTCTAAAAACCCTTGATGAAAGCGAAAGTTGTCCAAGGTCGGCAGGAGGTGTGAAACCGAATATCCAGAAGCGCATTTCTCGTGGGAGCAGGCGAAACAGACCAAGGGGACTTCTTGAATACACGAACTGAGACTTTGGGTTTTTGTCTGTTGATATCGCTTTTGTCTTGGAAGTTCCATGCTTACTGGTTTTGCTTTTCTTTACACTTTTCATGTAGTGGCACATGGTTACTGACATGACGTAATATTTTAAAAGAAACCTGGAAGACGTATAAAAAGCCCTTTTAAGACCAGCGCATTGACTTGATAATGTTGACAAAATAGTTTATGAATATCTTAGCTTAAAGGTTTTACGTTTCAGGGTAAAATAATTGTCTACTTTTAACCGTGTATGGTTTTGTCTCAAAACAAATAGAGTACAGTATTGAAAAAAAAAATCAAAGTTTTAAAAAAATCTGTGAGCTTAACAAAGTTTCCCAAATTTCAAGACTTAAGCTTTCACTTTTCTCGTTAACTTTGTGGCTCTTGGTGAAACTAAATCAAGGCTTACCTTTTGATAACCGAGGTGAGACCAAGTAGATCGTAGTTTTCGAAAAAAAAGGCGGAAAAAATCACTTGTTGCTTATCTCAAAATTTTACCTCCGAATAAAGCTCAAAGTTACTGAAAGAAACAAAGAATTTTTAAATGTCAGGAAAAAACCAATTTCTGTCACCGCTCCCCGCAAACTCCCCGCGGCTGCTGACAACCGGACGCAAAAAATCGCGGGAAGAAGTCAAAAAGCGCGCCATTTATTGGTAACCGCGTCATTTGCTGGCGGCTGCCTGGGAACAAATGAATCCATTCGATAATTGATCGTTTTTTTCCGATTTGTTACGGAACTTCTAACGAGAACCAAACGATAGTTCTAAGCCAATCAAAACTCACACTGCGTGCCGGTGAAAAAGCGAGATTTTTTGTTGAGCCTTCGCAACTCTTTTTCTCTTATCGGAAGGTGGAAATTTTGTTTTGTTTTCCTTCTGGGAAGTAAAATAGAGCCATGATCAAGCTTTTTTCGTTGAAGCAACAGAAGAAGGAAGGTGAAGGCGCAAAAGGAGGGGCAAAGAGAGCGTCTGCTGCGCAACTAAGGATAACTAAAGGTGCGGCATGGTTTGGTTTTAGAGCTTAGAGAAGTAACTCAGCTTATTGTGCTACCATTGCATCATGAAACTTAACCTTCTTGTTTTACGCTTAGGGAATGTCTACGTAATTAATTATTCCCGCATAAACAAGCTTTAAGAGGAACTAAGATCGCTGTAGCACTAAAGAGACCTTTTTCCTCTTTGCCATCCCGGTTTCATTTTGTCGTGAAGAGAACTGCGTTTCCGCGCGTGCATTGTTGTTGAATTGACAAAGTTGTACCAAAACAACGAGTGCGATTTGTACTTTTTAACTTTCACATGCACACTTTCAGTCGCTAGTTTCTGAAATTTTTTAGACGACCTTTACCGATCGTCCTTATCACAAGTAACCTAGTCAGCAACCCGTGCGACGAATTTTGTTTGTTTACCAGGTTTAAGGGAATTTTGTGGACCAGTGATGCTTTCATATGATTCGACGTCACGAGCTCTCAATGGGATTCGTTGCTTTAAAAATCTAAATTTTCTATTTCAGCTATGTGTTCTGTTTGTCAGTCATAGATTAATCCGTGCGTTTATGTTTTACCTTTTTCAAAACGTTGTGCCAGAATTTAAATGGTTTCTTTCACCCTTGCATAAGTTGCCTCAGTTTTGACTCATGGAACTTAAAGCAATACACTGCTCTGATAGCCTGTGAACAGATGCCCCCCTCCCCTCATTAAAAATCAGGGAGAGAGACATTTGTGAATTGCTGTCGTTAATCATGTCCCTGTTTCCCCAGAATGTGGGGGAAAGCCTCTGGTTGGTTGTAATGTTAATGCCATACCACATCTGTATACGTTTACTTGTATTTTGGCTCTCTGGAATGGGCATGTGAAGTAAGACCACCAATGTTTGCTGCACTGATTGCGGGTGTATCTGTTCTCTGCCGGTGGCTATTGTAAATAGAAGAGAAGGACGTACAGAATTCAACGCTTAATCAGAGATGTTATTTCTGGATTTCAGCATTGACATTGTGTGGAAGTTTTTCGGCTAGCCCCCTGGCTTCTGTACACAGGCTGTTTTTCAGCCTACTTGTGCCGGTAATAACTCGTAAAATTAGACAAAAGTAAAGCTATAATTTCTTCCTGAAAAGAAGTGAACAGTCCTTTACATGAAACCTACTTGAAATCATCGAATGGATCAACTCCTGCTTAGAACACTTGACTGGAAATGTAAACAGTGCTTCTGAGATCAAGATTCTGTTAACCAAAAACCACAAGAAATCAATGCATAGGAAACAGACTGACTTTATGAACTAAAACAACGGAAGAACATGTACATGTTAGAATCTTCCAAGGCATAATATACTCGTTTTAAATGACATTTTAGTTAGATGTTCTAGTTAGAGCCTAGCCTAGCCATAAAGGTTGAGAACATCTGAGAGAATAACTGCCTACTTGCTACACTGTATATAAGAGTCCAGAGTCGTGATGGTCTGTCAACACCTTTTCAACCGTCAGAAGAAAAAAATATGTAAAAATGTATACCAGAACACGATTAACCATACACAACGCTTTAACACATTTTTGTATTCACCTTAATCAATTAACTTTTTCTAACCCAATTTATTTTCACCATATTTCCTCAAATAATAGCCAGGGGCGATTATTTCTTTTTTTGCACCAAAAGGGGGCCATTATTCAGGGGAAGGTGATTATTTGATGGAAGTGATTATTTAAAATATTGTTCAATAGAAGTTGTGCCCTAAATATTTTGTTCTGTTTTTCTGTTACAGTGTGACCACATGAACCGAGGCCACCCAGACAAAATTTTTGAGACAAATTTTGAAATTAGCCAATCACAAGTCAAGATCTAAGCAATAAAATTGGGCATAATCTTTTAGTCAGAACCATTTTTCTAAAAGGGTGTGTAAAGCAAGCTGAAAAATGTTTTGACAATGTCTTTGGTGGCCGGAATCAAAGCCAGTAGTAAAGAAAGCAGTTGTCTGGGTGGCCTCAGTTAATGTGATAGCACTGTAAATCATAAAATAATCACATCAAATTAACCCGTTTGGCCCTGAGCCACCCGTAACTGCCTGTGCGGATCCACGTCCTTTCTACCACTTGTGACGTTATCAGTTTTAATAGTCAAGGACAACTTTGTCTGCTAACTAGTGTAGAGTGAAGAGATATTTTAAACCATACCAGAATGAGCACAACTCAGTCAAGGACACCGGAGAAAAGGCAAAAAAAAAAATGTAACATTGACCTTAAAACTTCCATGAAAATCTTGTTGCACTAACTACCTACCTTTCCTTTTATCTAATCCTAAGATCCTAAAAGCTTTCCTAAAAACTTTTCCCACAGCAAGAGAAAAAAAAAGAAAAAAAAAGAAAAAAAAAAGGAAGGAGAGAAAGTGACAAGTAAAAGTCAAGACTGCTGTGTCACTCTTAAACCCCAAACCTCGAAATCTCAAAATTTTGCTTTCTGCGCATCCCCAAACTTCGCAAGCTAATATTTTGCATCTGGATCAGAAGGCCGTGAAGTGTACAACCTGTAAATGGCTTTGTGGTAAGTTTTAGCTCTTTATAGCATAACAGTGACCAGAAAACTGCTCAACTAGCTTCAAATCGCGCTTTTCGGCAAAATCTCCCGGGGCAAATGGGTTAAAGTGTTGCAAATTTGGTTCCTTGATTAATTCTTAATGTCAGTGTCCTTGGCGTCAGAGCTTGAATCATCACTGACCAATTTTGCTGGATCAAACTCTACTCTAGCATCATCCTCCAAGTTTACTGCTATAGGTATCCCTAGCGGGCAACCTATAGTAGTGGGGGGTGATTATTGGAGGGAAGTGATTATTTTAAACATTTCTGTCAAGAGGGGTGGGGGGGTGATTATTCAAGGGAAGCAATTAACCGAGGGTTGGCCATTATTTGAGGAAATACCCTATTTACCATTCTGGAGTGTACATGTAGTCCAGTGTCTGACCTCCTGGTTTGACCTGGTGTTTGATGCTTAGGGTTTAGCCAAATGTACATATAATTTTGAGAGATTAGGACGCTGAAGTCTTTTTGAGGCAACATGAAATATGCAATGTATTTGGAACATTTACCCCAATAAAAGCAGTTACCAAGATCATATTAAGTAAGGCCTACTGTTGATTAAGGGCTAGTATTGCCTGAGGTTGCGCAGCACCAAGAGATGTAATCTGCAAGCCATTTTCTTTTCTTTGTATTTAGTACTTTGATTTGCAAGGTCTCGATCTTTGCCTTGTGCTGTTGCCTTTGATCGTGGAAGATTGCTTGAAATTACAGCATTATTGCCTAGACATCATTGGAAATTGTCACTTAAGATTTATAAACTGTAATGTTATAATCTTTTTCCAGTTTAAGTTTAGTCTGACTATTCTATGTACACTGTACCATAAGGCAGTCAATAGTTACTGTGTAACCTATGCCCATACACAGGCTCCCTTAAGAATTTATCTTTGCCTCATTTCTTATCTAATCTCCAAGCAACGTTGAGTTAACACTTTAAGAGTGTCTTGTTGACCTCTGCAATCTGAAATTTGTATTTTAATTAATCATGCAAGCAGATCAGGTGTCATCAGCTTCAGCAGTGTCATTGATTTTCTCCTTGGTGTTTTGGCTGTAACTTGTGGAAGAAAAAGAGACCTAAAACTTCAACAGAATTCAGAACATAGTATGATACTTACTTGATCTGTTACTACCTTCCCCCTAACTTATCAGCCCTCCCTGTCAAACATGCTACCTTAATTTGCAATTAGTACCACACTGTAGTTTAGGAATAATGTATTGTTCAATGTATAGTGACCAATCACAACTTAAGAATGTGTGAAATGATATGCATCTGAACAGGGCCTTGTGGTATTTTCTTAATAAATACTACTCATTAATTTTTTGATCTATCAGTGTGGCACTTAATCAGGAACAGCACTTAAATAAGTTTTCTCATTTGCAGATAGCAGAGTGCTACATTTGTACAATTTTTGCTGGTAAATTATAAAATCTTGTTGATGAAATCAAGGACAAGGAATCCAGAAAACAATTCTGAGTCCCATGTGGGTTTAAAGCCACAATCCTTAGCACTGTCGTTGAATGCACTGATCACTAAGCAACTGGATAAAATCTTGTCTCAGGTTAAACCAGAATTTAACCTTGTTTGTTTTACAATTATTACTTGTCTCATAGGAGACAAGTAAATTCTGGCTTAAGCTGAGAATCCAAATTTATGTACAGTAGAGATGCTATGGTGAGCAAAAACCTTGGCTTACTATAGAGGCTGTAGTAGCTTAGTGGTTAGAGCTTCTGATGAGGGTACATGTATGATCTGTGTGTGATATCTTACACTGAAATACTGACTCCTCTTCTTGGATTTTAGATATTGGTGAACTTAATCTTCCAAAGACATGTCAGACAGATTTCCCTGATCCAGATGACCTTCTTAATTTTAAACTCCTTATTTCACCAGATGAGGTTAGAAAGTTGGCTTTTATTATTCTTTTGTTTTTGCTCTATAAAAAGGTAAACAAAAACTATAAAGTTTCTCTGTATCTGTTTTTTAATTCATAGGGATTTTACAGAAATGGAAGATTTGTGTTTAGTTTTAAGGTTAGTTATTTGATTGGTTGGCATTCCAGAATCATCATCTCCATCATCATTCTTTCATCATCTCTTTCTCTTCACATTTTACCTATATGTATTTACGATAGATGCTGTTCATCCGAAACAGGTCTAAATAATAACTGTCATAACTTTCCTGAAAGTTATTTCTTGACTCCTCACAGTGCAAAAATTTGGTATTCCTCTTTTTGGAGACAGGTAAGCTGGAAAGGTAGTTGTGTTATTGTCAAACACCTCCAGTTTGAAGACCTGTCCATTTTAAGCTTTCCATACTTTAATGCCTGATGTTGGGTCTGAATGAATGCAAAGGCATTGTAGATACCTTAATCAGTTGGTGTTTCTGTTGAGTTTTTTGGTGAGGACCAAAGTGACAATGAGACAAAAATGACAATGTGTGTCCAGTGTCTGATGTCATTTCCTGTTTATTGTGTTTTTCGAAGACCCATAGATTTTGAATTTATGTCACAGACTTGATCTGCCACTCATGCATCCAGCCATCTCTAACAATTAAGGCCAGACCTGAGAGAGCAGCGGAAATCACATGTACCTCAAATCCTAAGTATACGTGATTACATTAATGTTTTTTTTTTATTTCAACTTATTTTAGGTTGGTCCTGGCTATCCTCATGATGCACCAAAAGTCAAATGTGAAACAAAGGTACATTAACTCTGGATCCGATTCTGTTGGATCTACTTTTTAGAAGTTGGTTATTCCTTTGACAGGCCTTGCTTTAAAATGCCTTGTACATGTAGTTACCTATGCTTTTAAAGTTTCCCCTTCCAAAGGCCTTGAAGGTACAAATTAGTCCCCTTAGGGCAAGAGCTGTCTCAAACCCTGGTGAACCCAGGACTGTAACTAAGGACTGGGGGCTTGGGATTTCCCCTGTTTGTTTAGGTACATGTACTGTAAACTTCCACTTATACATACAAATGTGTAGGGCTTATGCAACTTCACGAGGGGTTTAAGGACGGCGTATAAACAGGACAGGAAAAAAAAACAAAACAAATATATTACAAAAAGCTACATATGCAGGTAATAACAGGATTTTTTTGTTGGCAGGTAGATGAACCTATAACTGGGGAAGGGGGGGTTAAAAAGCAGATGTTTAGGTTATGACCCCTGGCTATTTTGTTAGGAAACAAAATAGCCTGTTCCAGGCTCCAAGATACTGTAGCATGTGCAGTGATCATGATAACAAAAGCCAAAAACACTGCCCTAAACACAAGAATTACAGCTGTATTTAGGATTATAGCCTTTTTGCCACTGATTTCTTAAATGAAAGACCAAGCACAACAACTAAAAGAGCTTGGATCAGCTTTGGTTGCATTTGAATAGGTCACTGAAGGCATACATGTACATGTCAGGTTTGTCAAAAGTAGCCAGCTGCCAGCAAAAATCGCCGCCTGCTTGGTTAGTATTGGCCGGCTACTCTGCTTGGCATTTCTTTATGGATGGCATTTTTTAAATAAACTCAGCCGTCTACTTCAAAACTTTCTGACAACCCTGCATGTAGTCGAGGATGTCAAGAAAGCTTCAAAATTGGCAAAGCAGGAATTACAAATCATTGTACTCTAGTTTAAATTCACATGATAAAAGAGGTACATTGTCAAAAAATGTGAAATTTTCCATGATTAGTTTAGAGTCAATTTAGGCTAGAATTCTTGCCTTTTTCAGATTTAAGCTCGTAGATTCCCATCTGTGAGAATTAATTAACATTCTCAGCCAAAAACAACTGTATGTAGTTATTCAGATCCTAAAATTTTGGACAACAATAGAGAAACAAAAGCCTATATTAGAAGATAATTAAGCAATAAAAAGCTTAGCTGATTTCCCCTAGGCCCTATAAATATTGATCCTCAAAATTTTTGTAACTTTCGATCGCTACAAATTTGGCCCACAGGAAAAGGACTGTTTCAGCCATTTACGTGGCTTCATTATTATTATCCATGATCGTGAATAATAAGTTTTATTAGCTTTTCTAGGCTAAAACAATTGAAAATCAACCCAGCTTAAAAGGTTTGAACTTTTGAACCTTGTTTGTTATCCCCATAAAATGTTGCAGAACTATCACAGTAGTCATATGTTTTTGAGTTGTTATAAACTAATAAAATGATGTTGTTACTATTCTAGGTTTATCATCCCAATATTGATTTAGAAGGAAATGTATGCTTAAACATTTTAAGGTAAATTTGTTGTTATTTTTGTTGGATTTTTGATTACCTTTCCTTTTTGGTGGATATATATTTTGTCTGCAGTATAAAGCTTGAAAGTCTCTTTTCCTTAGTTTTTGTGTATGGTTATGTGTGATACAATGNCCCATAAAATGTTGCAGAACTATCACAGTAGTCATATGTTTTTGAGTTGTTATAAACTAATAAAATGATGTTGTTACTATTCTAGGTTTATCATCCCAATATTGATTTAGAAGGAAATGTATGCTTAAACATTTTAAGGTAAATTTGTTGTTATTTTTGTTGGATTTTTGATTACCTTTCCTTTTTGGTGGATATATATTTTGTCTGCAGTATAAAGCTTGAAAGTCTCTTTTCCTTAGTTTTTGTGTATGGTTATGTGTGATACAATGTTTGTATTAAATGAAAATAACAATTCAGTGCAAGCCAAGAGAAAAATACAGCAAGTACATTAATGGTGTGAAATCTGAATGCCAACTTTATTTTCATTTGTATAAATTTGGAATTAATTGTATTGAGAGTCAAGAACTCAAGTGAGACTCAATTAACAACTTGATTCTCAATGCTCAATTCATGTAAGGACTGAGTATCAAGTGTCAACAAAGTTAAATTGCATAGTACAAATGTACTGTATGTAGGACTTATTTAAGATTGCTTAGAGCCCTCTAGAGCTAAGATAAGTACAATTTTTGATCAATTTTCAGATTGTCCATGGTAAAAATATGCGGTACATGACTGTGTGTGCAATTTGGCAAAATTAAAAATTGTTGGCATAATAATACCTGTTCTTTGAAACCAGCTATGACTAGAATCTTGAAGATTCTAAGCAACCCAAGGAGCTAGAAAAAACTACATTACAAGTTAAATCAAAATCATAGACAAGTTACCATATGCAAATATCCTGACATGAACAAAAAAAATACTACCATAATTTTGTACCCTAAATATTAGGCAGTTTACTCCCTCTTCTCCACCCCTTGACCCACCAAAAATGGGGAGAATTTGTTTATGGTTTATAGAACTTAAGATTCTATAAGAAGGCAAAGCAAATTTAACAAGTACAGCTGTTACAGTCCAAAGTTGGACTTGTATTATTATTTGTTGGTTATTGTATTTATTTATAGTATTCTAAAACTCTTTGATTTTCAGAGAAGACTGGAAACCTGTTTTAACAATCAACTCAATAATATATGGACTACAATATCTGTTTTTGGTGAGTGACTGAATTGTTGTGAATGTAACATTTACAGGGGGGTGCTCTTAAGAAATTTTGTGGCAACAAGCGCGGAAATAGGGTCCGAACGAGGTCTAGAAAAACTCCTTGCTTTCAAAAATGCATAACCCCAAAATCCCAGATCATGATATGTTTCTAGGAAACTGCCCACCTACCCCTCCTCTAAGTCAACATTTTGCCCCAAGTGCGAAGTAAGTGATAATGTTGGCTTAGGGGAGGGGTAAGTGGGCAGTTTCCCAGAAACGTGTAATAATCCAAAATCCTCGATTATTTTCTTTATTATACTTGCCCCCCCGCCCCCCCCACCCAAAAAAATGATAATACTAACAATAAATGCAAAAATCAAATATTGCAACTATTTAAACACATAGCATAACTTGTTACTTAATTGACCATGTGCACAGGTTTGCTGGAATATGTTAATAGAAAGCTTATTACCCAGAAACCAGCTCAATAGTTTCTTCAATTCAGTATTCACAATTTCCATCAGTTGATTTGGGTCTTCATGAGAAAAAACAATTGTGATCATTGGCAAAGAGTGTGAAAACCAAAGCCTTTGACAGGGAAGATAACTTTTGAACCACTGTGACAGTAGTTGCATTCATACCACAACCATTTTGATTGTCACGTTTAGTAAAAACGATTTTGCTGATTAAAATTGCTGTGAAAGTCCCAAATTAAACTATCATCTTTCTGAAGTTAAAGAGAGAGAAAAATTTGCATGACATGTTATTTTACTGCTTGAAAAAGCTGAGCTTAGAAAACTCCTTGTTGAGCTTTTCTTTCCAGTGTTAGTCATGTAGTCACCAATAATCATCATTTTGTTGTTTTCAGGAACCAAATCCCGAAGATCCTTTAAACAAAGGTTGGTATTTATTTTTGAGAGAGTTTCTAAGATTGTACACCTGCTCAATTTTAAGCCAGTTTGTTCAAACATAAATATCTAGTTAACAGTTTAGAGAATATGGTGGTTTTCACTAGCGCATAAGCATAAGTATAATAACATAGGCACATGCAGAATGGCATATTTGACTCAATTCTCCATACCAGCTCTCCTCAACCCAATGATAAACAAGATGGCGGACAAAGCGTCCGCCATATTGCTTTTGATATGTTTGCATGAGGTCTGGGTCAAAGTGACCTATGGTTGGTCCACGGCCTTGTGCTTACATGTATGCTTGTGCTTATTTCGATCCGGTTTTCACTATTCAAAGCTACGACATACAGTGTAAGCATAAGAACAAGAGGAATTTACCTGTATGTTTTTCTTGTGCTTATGCTTATAGTTACGCTTATGTCGAGCCAGTTTTCACTTGCTTACACATGTGCTTGTGCTTATGCTTATGCTTATGTGCTAGTGAAAACCAGGCTTAAAGGTTTTGAACACTGGTCACTAAATTCTGAGTCTTTTTCTTCAAAAGAGAATTGAAGTGTCCTGAATGACACATTCTTGCGAGCACGGTAATAATGCCATCAAATAGAGAGGAGAAGTCGTTACGTCACGTTGCCATGGTGGCAAAATTTCTGGGTGACAGCAAACCGAAAAAAACACTTCAAAAGTGAAATTGCACTGTTTCAAACTTCATCTATCTTATTCAGTTTCATTTAATTTGTCAAAAGTTGGCACAATTTTCTGGGGTTGAATCTGAAAGGACCGCATCTACCGTATGTTTAGAAAAAGAGAAAGAAAATTTTTGTGTTGTCATTCACATACTCCATAAAACAGGCTTGTAAATTAGGAAGTTTCATGTCGCAGTTGTGCAACGACAGCTAAGAAATGTACAACTAAAAGCGTGATTCACGTGCAAAATTGTTGACTTGCTAATGTATCCCCCTTGCTTGTTTGCTGTTCTCGTTGCCATGGCCATCATTGTTGCTTAAGCTTTCTATTCGTGTGATTTAGAAATTCTGCAATCATAGTAATGTGATGTCACACTTCTCCTCTCTGTTATGTGAAGCCGCTGCAGTTAAAGTGGTGCGGGAACCACCTTTAAAGTAACAGTTATGTATTACCGATTATAAATCCTATTTGCTTTTTGTTTCGTGCAGATGCTGCAGAGGTTCTCCGAGCTAACAGGCGGTTGTTTGAACAGAACGTACAGAAAGCAATGAGGGGAGGATATGTAGGAAGTGTTTATTTTGAACGGTGTCTTGTGAAATAACCATGCAGTGGAGAGATGTGCCTCTATTTATGAACTGATTTAACTGTTGCAGTGCAAGTTTGCTATAGCAAGTGCTCTCCAAATAGAATTTGGACATAAACTGGCTGGTTCTAAATGAACTTTGAAAGACAAGTAGATCCAAAAATTTGATGTATAATATGGATCTGCTTGTGAGATATATTTTTGTCCTTGCTGAGTTAATGTGTTAGTCAAAAGTTAATAACCTCTAATGTTTCCAGTTGATATGTTGTATTGGTCTAGGTTGCAAAGGAATATTTCAAGAGGTATTTTTTGGTTTATGGTATTTTGATAGCAGTTAAAATCAAGGTTGTCGAATTTTAATTTTATGTCATGGTGGCTAACCATTAGCAAGTTACTTTAAATTGTTTTGCAATAATAGCAAGGCCAAACAAGCTATATGTAGCACTGACTGCACAGTCAGGTTATTTAGCTGCATGCACTTCTGTAGTAAAAACTTCAGTTTTAAATTGAGACAGCTCATGTAGAATAGGAAAACCCAGACTTTGATTTATTTGGCCCATGTGCAGATCTGTTACAATTATGCTTAAAGAGATTTACGTTTCTGCCAGCTATTTCTTTTTAATTGGATGCATGATCCTGTAAATGTTACAAGGGAAGGGAATACCCAACTGTATCGCTGTCAATGTCGAATCTAGAATAGATATTTTGTACAGTAATGTATAAAATAAACGAATCATATTGTACAAATAAGTTTCATCTTCAGTGCTCTGTTTTGAGATGTTTTTCTTCAAGAAATTCTCTTTTTTATGCTCCATTAACGCTAAAGCTAAAACCTGTTTAGTTTAAAACAGTTTAAAATTGTTTCGTTCATAATTGCCTGCTTCGCAGACACAGAGGAGTGCGTGGGCCGGCTGCAACGTAGGCTACCTTCATGAAAGCTACTAAAAAATCCTATTATGCAAATTAGAACGTTGCTAAGGCTAAAACATTGTTTACGACGCCATATTGAGAGCAGCCTCGTTCCCAGTCGTCCTCGGCGATTTCGGATGTGACGTCACCTGTCAAGCTTATCGGGAAAATTCGCAAGCCTCCTTTGGTCACTCGGATAGCGCGAACAGGCCTGGATACGAGGCTGTATTGAGAGCACGTCGCGAAACGAGTTCAAACAATTAGTTCAAACGAAGATTTTCGCACTTTATTTATTCAAGATGGCGACGAAGAAAATAGCGCTGTGAGACGAAAATTAAGGGCGAATTAAGGTCAATTTTGCAGCTGCGTTGGACCGCACTGAACACAAATTGATGTAAAAAAATGAGGATTTATAATGCCGCGCTGAAACTTGCCAAGTGTATTCACATAATTCCAAGGAAACATGTATTAAATTCCCGGCAATTGGCGGCAAAATGGGAATATTTTGGAATTTTTGGTGGTGGCCTGAAGTTACAGGGCATTACAAAAACATTCCACCGCCATATCTCAGGAAAAAATTACTGTCTACTGCCGGGAATTTAGAGGTAAATGAACAATCTAAGTATAAATCAGTTCCAGTATTTTTTTATTCCTAGCTATCGAGAGAAAGCCAGAAATATGCAATACTTGAATTTTTGAGCCTGCGACGTAAATCGCAAGTCACGCCTTTAGTTGTGAAAATTGACACTTCGGATATCAGTTTTCTAAAAGTTCAGCTCTCGCTTGATAGACCTGTGTAATTTTTATTTTGAAAAATTCTTTATTATTTTGAGAAATGAATTTTTCAACTGGAATGGTTTGTTGCAGATCTAGTACCTTATTTTCAGTGTTTAGATCTTAGACCAATTTCGTGATATTAAAATCAGGGTTCGTACAGAGTCTTTTAGTAATTCTTGAAAAAATCTTGAAATTTGCCCAGCAATTTTCCAGACCTGGAAAAAGTCTGGAAAATGGAGATGAAGTCTGGAAAAATAGTAAAAAGACTTGAGTTTCTTTTCTTTTTTCAGAGCGAGAACAAGTGCTTACGAAGTGAACTGTATTTTGTTTCGGTCCAATCTCACCCATACGTCTGCAGCGCATGTTAAAAAAGCTTTGTTCCTGCATTTTTTAAATCATCTATGCGAATTTAGTGGAACAAAAGAACGTTTTTGCATAGGAAAAGAGTCCAACTCACACAGGATTAGTTTGGGACACCAACATGGCCGCCGTTTCATTGTTTTGGGACACCAGTATGGCTGCCGTGAAGTCATGTGAAAACACTATATTAAATACCTATTTGATAACTTTGAGTCTGGAAAGAGTCTTGAATTATGGATCCAAAATTCTGTGCGAACCCTGTAAAATTAACACTTGACTCCGAGGCTTGGGAGAATAAAACTAAAGAAATATTTTGCTGAGCCTCAGATGAATTCTTTGTTTTATTTCTTAAAACAGGATTTAGAACAGGATTTTCTCGTTCCTCGTTCTTTTCTCCGAAACCGCACGGAAACGTTTGCTGCGCAGGATATATGCCCTCAAGTTCTTGGGTCTGATTACAAGTTTGCTCTCTCGAGAAACATAAAGAGAATTTATAAGGGAAGAAGTAATTGATAATTTAGTCCTTTAGAGGCATTCGGCATCTGCGGGATATATCCTAGGACCAGTGGCTGGTTACTTAAAGTAAATTTTGGGGCCCTCAATAAAAAATCCGTCCAAAGATCTTTAAGAAGACTGAAGCGTGCGGATCCTAGCTCCTGTTATTTCCAAAACTATTGAAAACTCTATCATAATGTACACAATAGCAATTCGAGCCCAGCATTGATATATAATATACAGGGATTTTCAAGAAAGGCGCCCTTTACCTGGCTCCTTGGTGGAGAGAAAAAGGCGAATGTTAAACGGGCAAATCTCCCTGTCCCTCGCTTTTACTCCCCACCAGGAGCCTGGCCCGAGTGGTCCTAAACAATTCAGCTTCGCCGTCTCCGAATATCCTAGGGAGACAATGTAATTTCTTTTGTCACTTTTTTCTTTTAAAAAAAGTTTTTTTCGTGGAACATTCTTTCTGCTTGCCCATGTTATGGTAAGAGAGTCAGATTTCCTCGATTGATCCCCACTCTTGTGACGGAAGTTAAATGAAGGGCAGCGACTAGAAAGAACAAAAATATTGGAATGAGGGACAGTCCCAATTTTGGTGTTGTTTTTTGTGTCTGTTTGTGTTTGTTTGTTTGTTTTTTCTTTTTTTGTCTTAGAAGGGAAGGTCATGTAACCAAGAACCGATCGACTCCTGGTTAAGTTATTACACAGGTAAGGAAGAGGAAAAGTCTAGGAAATTTTTCAGGGAAAAAAGCTTTAGTCCTCTGCCCAACTAAAAATGTACCTTACGTAACAAATATGCTCAAAAACATTAAGTAAACGTTTACTGTTCGTCAGCTTTGGAACAGAAGTTCTTTTGCTCGCGCGCGGTAAATGTCTATTATGACGCCATTTCAAAGAACAGAGTTGGATCTTTCAGTATGATCTTTCGTTGAATCACCGTACAGATCAGCGATGAAACCGGGTCCAGTTATAGGGCCGTTTGTTTTTACCTATTGCGTGTTACAAAGCGTTTTTCAGTACTTTACAGGAAAATTTAGTGAAAAAAGGTAAGAAAGTAGTTAGTCGCTTTTTTTTTGAAGACAAAGTATTTCTTTTTTCGCGGTTAGAGTTAACATCAATTTCAAGGCCAACTGAGATGAGACGCATGTTGGTCAGTTTCAATAATGCAACGAGGACAACTTACTAAAAAGCTTAAACAGTAGAAAGAGAACAACTATTCATGAAACTGTCGACAGAAAAAAGAAATAGAGAAAAAAATGAACAGTTTTAGACATTTCTTGTGCTAACTTCTGGGCTAGTTGAAATAAAAACGCACTTCGTGAACTAGGGAATTTTGTTGCTTTACCTCTTACAAAATCACAATTTAATATTTAGAAACTTGTTTCTATTTCAGAAAGATCGTTTAACTTTCGGTAAAATATTATTTTTTACTTTTTGGTATTTACTGTAAGTTGTCTGTTTTGGAAAACAAAAACAAATCGTCCATGGCAACCGTTTGTAACAATCTTGGTGCTGACCTAAAGGAACGTAGTGTTTGCAGGAGTCCGGCTTCACTTTGGTCAGCAGCTGAGACGCAGCGTCGTTCCCAGTCGTCCTCGGTAATTTTCGTTTGTGACGTCATCTGTCAGTCTTGTCGGAATATCGCGCTCCGTTCCAAGCCTCCTCGTTTTACTTGGAGGGCACGAACTAGCCTGGGGACGATGCTAGCTGAAGCGTGAAACAGGAGTGCGCGTGCTGCCTCACGCAAGCAAATAACTGATAACCGAATTAATTTTCAATGATTTTCACTTTCTCAGTGAGATTACAAGACATTTTGAGTGCGTTAAATATTGTATTCGAAACTTAAGCTATTTTATATGAAGTATAATCTGTAGCTAATTGTGTTTTATCTATTTTTATCATCAGAGGTGTTTCAACGGGTGAATCTGAAATTAAAGAAGTCTGTAAAGAAGTAACTGTAGAACCAGAGAAAAAACAAGAGGAAAGTCAAAAAGTATGTTTACTGCATGTTAGTTATGAACAGCCTACTTTAAGATATTCTTGCAAACATGTTTTTGTGCCATTTTTGATTGTGATGTGGGCCTGTCTGCAACGAGGCTTAGAAATATTGACTTTTTTCTTTAATATTTACGAAACGAACACAAGAAGTAAACAAAATAATTATGAAAGCAATCGATATCAGTTTCTGTTAACCTTATGTTTAGCTAATAACCTACATTTTTAGCAAAAACTGTACAGTTGACTGTCTTTTACGGAGCGCAAACGACGACTTTCAGCTAGAAGGTTTTCAAGGCCTTTTTCAGCTGTTACAGAAATCTCTGGTGCACAAGCTGAAAAATTCTTTGAATGTTGTTTATATTTAACTCAGTCACAACTAAAAATGTATTAATTTTGTATTTGGGGGCCACTAGTTATTCTGTTGAAGTACTGTCCCGTGTTACCGCCCTCGTTAAATAAAGTTGATTATTATTGAAGTTGATTATTTGTGCAATAGACTCGAGAAGAAAATGTAAAAGAGAGAACCACAGGATTAAGTAAGCAGTACCTTGTTTGAAAGCATATCATTTATTTTCTACCCTCTCTTGAACTTTCATTAACAAAACTATATACCTTCAAGTTATCATAGTAAAACGCCAAGTCCTGTTCAAGACTCCTTTCATAGTCATAACTTATTTCATCCATCTTGATTGATTAGTGCCCTGTAAAACGAAGAAGATCAGAAGAAAGCAACTTAGAGGATATTAAGAGAAAGAAAAAAAGAAGGTCGATCTCTTTATACAATCTCAAAAGCATCTTTACCATTGGAGAGGGAGCCTTTGGAAAGGTAAGGGACTGTCAGAGGGAATAAACAGTTATCTCAAACAATTCGTAAAATCTCATATTAATGTTATACAAAATTTTGAGTAATTAAGGCGGATCAACGCGCTACAATGAGCGGCGAGGATCTCATTGTCAGAAGTGGGGATTCATTAATTAGTCGATAAATTAATTAACCCATTCGCCCCTGAACCGCCTGTAACCGCCCGTGCGGATCCACGTCCTTTCTACCCTTTGTGACATCATCAGTTTTAACGGTCAAGGACAACTTTGTCCACTAACTTGTGCAGAGTGAAGAGATCTTTCAAACCATACCAGAATGAGCACAATTCAGTCAAGGACACCGGAGAAAGAAGCAAAAAACCATGTGACATTGANACAATTCAGTCAAGGACACCGGAGAAAGAAGCAAAAAACCATGTGACATTGACCTGAAAATCTCCATGAAAATCTTGTTCCATTGCTCACCTACCTTTCCCTTCACCTAATCCTAAGATCCTAAAAGCTTTCCTAAAAACTCTTCCCACCAAAACGAAGCCTACTAAATGCCCAGCAAGAGAAGAAAAAAAATTAGGCAAGAAAAGCGAAAAAAGAGGGGAGGAGAGAAAGCGAAAAGTAAAAGTCAAGACTGCCGTGTCACTTTTAAACCCAAAAACTCTCGAAATTTTGCTTTCTGCGCATGCCCGAACTTCGCAAGCTGATATTTTGCATCTGGATCAGGAGGCCGCAAAGTGTACGACCAGTCAACCGGTTTGTGGTAAGTTTTAGCTCTTTATAGCACAACAGTGACCAGAAAACCACTGGTTGATATCTGGGAATAATTTTCGAGCAAGGGAGTAACATGAAGTTCTTTCGAACCCCACTGGGATTGAACTAAAAAAGGTCGGTAAGACCACGCCTATCAACCGCTCCATCTGAAAGCGTGTCCTATTCCAAAATATCTGTCAATTTTTTTATAGGTTCGTCTTTGTGAGGACCGTCGCACCAAGAGGCCATACGCGGTAAAGCAGATCTTAGAACCTGACCCAAGCAGTGTGGAGGAGAAAGTATTGAGCCTCGCCTCCTCAAGTCCTTTCATAACAAGACTTTGTGAAGAGGTTGAGAACCCGGTATGATACTTTTAAAATTTTCTAAGAACATTTTTAATCCTTCGCATCACCGCTTAAAAACCCGACACCCTCCCTCTCGGTACATGTGAAGCAAAGATGAGCGCCAGTTAAAGCAAGTGGACATTTGAACATCTTGACGATCTTCCAGGAAAATAGGGGAATGTAATGCTTCCGATAGAATTTGTATAGATAATAGCATGATTTGTAGTGATATTTGGCATAAATACCGTGAGTGATATTTCGAAATTCTTATACGTAATTTCACCAGCCCTTTAGCGAGTGAATTTTTGAGACAATTTTGAAATAATTATCTCGGATGGTATTTACACTAAATATCACGTACAAATTATGTTATTATTTGTTTATACTACTACCCGCAAAAGTTTTGTAATTATCACATGTAGGTATTTCAAATTAAGCTGAAATACCACTGCTCTAAGCCAATAAAACTGCAGAAATTTCTCACGTAGTAGTATAAGGTGTATTATACCTGTGCTATTTTTGAAATGGCTACACTGTGCGTTTCTCTCTGTGTCTCATTATTCTTACTTAGTTTAGTCAATAACGTAAAAAAAGTATGTTTTGGGTCAACTAATAATTTCTTCGTATGTTCATGTTAAAGTATCCAGGACATTTTATTATCTTGGAATATATCGATGGAGGAGACCTCGGAACAGACTTAAGTCACGAAGGATGGTATAGCGAACCTCAAACAAGGTAATGATACTTCTATCAAAGTTTTCGAGCAACGTTTAACAAAACAGTCGCTAAAGTGACAGTGAGATAAAACAGGACAGAATTTATCACATTTGGTCAAGTTTTGCCGTTGAACCGAATACCAAGTAAAGATTTAGTAATGTACGTGTTATTGGGACTGGGTTAAAATCATCGTAAATTACTCCGCTTGACACCACTGATCTTCAGTTTAATAACGACTGGTTCTATCAGTTGAGTTCTACTCAATAACCTTACAAAGTTCAACTGAGGATGCACCAATCAGCAAAAATAATAATTCTATCGAAAGATTAGTGATCGAAACAGGCCTTCATCTCACATACGCTTAGCCAGTTCAACACAGCGTTAATTGCAGTTTTTTAAGGAATTGTACTATGCAACCATCAGCTTTTGTGAGCTCATTTAATCTTGGTAGTGAGACGTAGTATATTAAAACATCCTATTACTCGTTGTTTCTTAGGTTTTACTCAGCTGAAATCATTGCCGGGTTGGAATTTTTGCACCGAAAAGGTGTCATTCACAGGTGAGTAGAAATACGAAAAGTACCTGAAATCCACACTTGGACATTAGTCTCGATCACTTCAAAGTATATAATATGGCAAATATAAAAAAGCAATGGATTGACGCTGTCGAACCTTTTTAGTCTAGCGGCCTTCTAAACCGCGGCCACCAGTTACCAACATCGGGGCAGAAAAAATTTTTAATCTCGATCACTTCAAGGTACATAATATGGCAAAGATAAAAAAAAGCAATGGATTGACGCTGTCGAGCGTTAATTTAGCGGCCTCCTAAACCTCGGCCACCGGTTACCTACATCGGGGCGGAAAACAATTTTGAGCTGTAAATCACTGTAAAGAGAAGGTAATAGCTTGCTGGATCATTTTGTATCATCACGACAGGGCTCAGCGTTCTGCACAGTCCTTGCATGTGTGAAGAAAGTTGATTTTACTATTATGCGGCTATTTATCCCTTTCCCGAGAGCAGCAGCTTAAGAGAGGTTTGATTGTGGTTAACTCTGGTCACCCTGAATATTATATCGCACCACTTTTGGCTCAGTTTACTTATCAATCAATGTCTCTAATATTTGTGTAATTTTTATTCATCGTATGTCAGGGACTTGAAACCTGAAAACATTTTGTTGACCAGAGGAGGGCACATTAAAATCAGCGATTTCGGGTTGTCCGCTATCATCGACTCAGTTAGAGAAGAAAAGATCACCAACCAAGAATATATCGGGACACCTCTTTACATGGCTCCTGAGGTAAACCTTGAAACGGTAGATTAAAAAGAATTTGTTTCAGCCACAAAGAGCTGGTTAAACCCCGTGAAGAACCAAGTTTTTAAATCAGCTCGTCGTGTAGCTACTTGGTCAATATCTATTCTATTCCAATCTGGGACCCATTTCAGAACCACCGTCTAAAATATCCCCAGGAAAATTGGACAGGGCTCTAACAAGGACAGGCTAATTAGATACTGTTGAGGCGGTGCTCTGCCTTTCACTCACTTAATCAGTGCTGATATCAATGCTAAAACAAATCTTTACACAGGCTATGAACTATCGTGTTTTCTTGGACGAGATATATACTTTAATGTTATCTACACAGGAAGAAGGAAGATCCGTTCAGTTTCCCAAAGCTGACTTTACATTATATCCACTCATTAACACTAAATCACCAACCTCATAGTAAGAGCTTTTGCTAAGGAGAAGCTGGGATTGTTTTCATGGAATAACATCTTATCGTGCTGGTGTTAGCTTAGTGCAAGGTGTTGTTTGTTGCAGATTATTTTACTTGACCCGTACGACTCATGTGTGGACTGGTGGGCTCTTGGAGTCATGGTGTTTACGATGCTCACTGGAATGGTTTGTATTTTATGTGATTTTGTTCTTAACACGAAAAACGATGAAATCGAACATAGGATGAGACAGGGTGTAGTTCGGTGTAAAGGGTAAAGCGGTTAAACCAGGATACTAGAGCATGCCAATGTGATCCTCTGTACTTCGATTTAAAATGTCATACCATGGTAAAAACGAGTAGGGGATCTATGACGATATAGTTTGTGGTCTTTTATGATTAAATTGAGAANAGAGCATGCCAATGTGATCCTCTGTACTTCGATTTAAAATGTCATACCATGGTAAAAACGAGTAGGGGATCTATGACGATATAGTTTGTGGTCTTTTATGATTAAATTGAGAAGACGATGATAATATTGGGAGCGACGCATAACGACGACAGGGGGGATAGCGTTTGTTAAAAAGGGGAATCGCGCTGTTTCAAAATTCATCGCTCTTTTTTTTCATGTCGTTCAATTGCCAGATGTTGTTGAATTTGTCTGGAACTTTATTTGTGTTCACGTCCTAAAACGTCAAATCAGGAAATTCCTCGTCGTGGTCGGCGTGCAACGACGTCAGCGAAATGTTTTGCTCAATGAAACCTATTGCTTTTTGCCGTTCTCGTCGCTTTCGTTGTTGTCGTTACTTAAGTTGCCGATATGATGGTGATCTTTGAAATTGACAATTTCATCCTTTGTGTTTACATTTTAGATGCCGTTTGATGCTGAATCGGAGGATGAGTTATTCGATTTGATCGTTTCTGAAAACCCACAGCAACCGGACAAAGCCACAATGGCTGAGCTTTCCACCGACGCCATCGAATTGTTTCTACATGTAGGTGTCAGATACATGAACCAGTTTTCGAGGCAGAGACAGGTTTCAGGTTGTCGTCAGATAAAATTCGACCTGGTGAAATGCAAGTTTAATTTCTAGTTACTCTCGACTTTTGTCGATGAGTGACATTAGAAACAACGCTCCAGTGTAACGAGCTAAATTATTGATTAGATACAACTTTGCGCGATTAAGTTTAATTTAGTGTATTTCAGACGAACAAAGGTTGTCTGTTACCTTTCTTTGTTACAATACACGTACCTATTAATTCTAAGTCAATAACAATAGAGGCAACACTTTTGACCGAAGCTCAAGCCCCCTGGGACCCGTTTCTCCAAAGTCCCGATAATTAACAGACCCGTAAAGCTGTACTTGTTTTCATGCAAGATAGAGGTTTCAATAGTTTTGCATCTAACATGATGAAACTATCAGTTAATGAAACAAAATGGAGCAGTTTGTAAGCCAGGACCCGCGCTCCTATTCTTTATATTTCGATGTGAAAATTTGATTTCGGGCCCGAAACGTTACCGGGACTTTCGAGAAACGGGCCCCTGGACGGGTTGTCCCTATAATGGCTCCACCCGAAAGGGGTACCCTTTTCAGGCTTCAGGAATATGAAAGGGTAGGGATTTCACTAAATGATGGAAAGAGTAGGCAAATCTGTTCTATGTTCCGATGAGTGGAAACTACAAATATCAGACTAAATCCAAGCCAACGTTGACTTCTGTTACGAAGTACCATAAAGACATAACATTTCAATAAACAAAAATCTCTAAGTTCATTTCAAATACCGATATTACAAGACATCTTACATTTTTTTATGTTCCCAGTTACTAGAGAAATATCCGCAAGACCGTCTTGGATATAAAGGAGGCGATTATCCCTCCATCAGAGATCATGCTTTCTTTGACGGCTTTGACTGGGACAGTCTGGAGGCTTTGGAAATTGACCGTCCACCTTGAATATCAGGTAATCATTCTGAAGCCTCACACAGCAAAGATTACCGTAAGGATAACAACGTTAGGGAAGCATGTAAGATAACATTTAAAATAGTTAGACACTAATATTTCAAACTATGTCAGTGTTCTTGGCTCGACTGAAGACTCTGTCATTTTGTGTTTAGCTATCTTCTTTGCCGCAGTAGAGTCCCTGCACACTGCAATAATGATCCTTTAACAAAATGTTCCTATTTGTCGTTTACTTGTATAATGAAATTTTTTTCAGTGAGTCCCACACTATTCGACCCATTTTTAGTAGAGCCACTAAGTCGTAATTAGCTGACATCTCCCTTAAGCAGACAGCAGCAAGGGTTAATACAATGATAAAGATTTCTCTTTATCGTAGTTTTGGCGAAAGGGTGTAAGGTAATTAGACCGGTATGTAAGGAATTTCTGCAAGTTTATAGAAAACCATAGGAGAGTAGGGAAAAAAATCACCTGCCGCATACAATGACACTATATTAGACAAACCCTATAATAAGCAGACACTCAGTGTTCGTAAGCTGACATAAACATCGGTGAGAGCAATATGTTTGTTTCAACATTGTTCTAAAAGGAAAACACACCGTTATTACGTGCACGCGAAAGAATCCAGTAGGTGTCTGGTTAATGGAGAACCCGGGGGGGGCACTTGGTTATTTTTTGGGTGGGTATGTGCCGCCCGGGACTCCAAATTGGCACCCCGTTCTAAAAAAAGTTTCCCTTAAAATTGATACCCCGTTCTAGAAATGGGCCAATTTTTTATACCCCGTTCTAGAATTCGCCCTAAAACTGATACCCCGTTCTAGAAATGGGCCAATTTTTTATACTCCGTTCTAGGATGCAACAAGAGTATAACAGTTTTCTTGTTAATGCATTGAACCGTATTTTTAAAAGCAATCTGTCCTTGAATAATTTCAAATGGCTACTTACAAAACTGGAGCTTTCGTGCGTTCGAACTATTATACCCCGTTCTAGAAAACGCCTCTGAAATGGATACCCCGTTCCAAACCAGGAGCTTCAAAATCGCGACCCCGTTGGGCGGCACATACCCGTAGAGGTAATGCATGGGAGTACCCCCCCTCCCCCCGGGATGGAGAATCAATGTAATGCTTGGCCTGTTTAGCACGTGCACCAGAAGGAGGCCGGCGCCGAACGCGAAAATAATTGGACACGCGTGTGCACCTTCCTCGCGTTCATCACTTTTTTCGCGTCTTATATTTATAGTGCACTTGCCACGCAGGTTACGTACAGGGTATTCTCAAACTAACCGTTTGTTCTTTTTATTTACAGCTGTCAATCAATACTTGAAATGCAACGAATCATCGTGAAATGTTTTCGACAGTATCTAAGCTTATCTACATATGATACAAATGTAATTTTGTACGAAATAAAAGCTTTTTACTTGGTGTCAGATAATTTGTTTAGTTTTTTTTCACCTCACTTTCTAAGCTCCAGCACCTACAGAGTCAGTCGGGCCGGGTTAAAAGGCGCGACGAAAGTTTTCAACCCGTGCTTGAAAACTTTTGTCGCGCCTTTTCTCCCGGCCCGACTGACCGCCCTGGATCTCCGAGGATGCTTACAGCCAAGCGCGCTGAGCGAAAAATGTAAAATTATGTCCCTCTCATGTGCTCCCCATCTACATGTTGTGACTCAAATAGAAACAAGAGATTGTTCGCAGTTTATGAATATGAAAAGTCCCAGCCTTAGCATAAGCCTTTAATATAATTTGTTGTTAATGAAAGAGCACAGTAAAGAGCGTTGTGCTATGATTATTATTTGACTTTTTTTCAAGAGCCTGCGCACTTAGAAAAACTAAGCTAAGTCTGTGAACGATAACGCAATTTCTAAGTTTCCACGAGCAAAATACACTGCGTCTCATGTAGACCAGCGGAAGAGAATTTTTGGAGAATCTAAGCTATGTCAACAAACGAAAAACGCAATTTGAAAATGACGAATATGCCTCCAATCTTGATGATTTTCCAAATCTTGCTGGCAAGAGCTTGAATTTTCCAAATCTTACCGGCAAGTTCCTGAACTTCCAAAATCCTTCCCACTTTAAATTTGCCGTATCTTGCCGTCTGGAAATCGTGCCGGTAAGATCTTGAAATTTCAAAATCTTGAAATTTTGCAAATTTTGCTGACAAGATCTAAAACCCAGACGATCGATTCTGTACGATGAATCTCTTGTAACACTCCACTAAAGATAACTACGTTTTGCGATCAGATAAAGTAGGTCACCTCAGCAGTAGGAATAGCTCTCCGTAAGACATCTCCCCTTTACGTTGGTTAAGAGCAACTCTTGACGCGGTCTTCGCAATACAGCTGGGCATGAATGCCCTTGGCGTCAGGTAAGCCGTAAGGGCTCCAGACAGGCATTTTTCAATTCTGCCAGTTATAAGATTGTCCGTACAGGGTAGAAAATATATTTACATTTGCGGTACCAAGAGGGCATTTAATTGACCCTAGCCTTTGTTATCTGCAATGTTTACTATTTTCTTGTCGAGAAATCTTAACTTACTAACCCCCTCCTCCCCCCGCTCATTGTTAAATTCAGGACCAGGATCTGAGCCTCAGGTAAAAGATTGGGCCTACTCTCAGGGAAAGTTTCTCTCCATGAGACTGTGTAACAAAAAGTACGTGCGACACTGCCATCGACAGGAAATTATCTTACTGAAAGTCGTGCAATCTTCAATACCCAACCGGACATAAACCGCGCCGTGCTCTTTCTCATCCCCGCCTCCTTCCCTCCCACAGAAGCAACCAATCAGATTTCGTGTTGTAACAGGACAAAAACGGAGAGCCCGCGTTCTTACCAAAGTAATTTTCTAAAATGGCGGCCCGTTGTGCAAAACAATTATCCGTTTGTGCCGGCTCTTTACGTTTTTTAGCGCCAAAGGGAGCGAGGAATAATCGCTTTACCTCTCGACTTCTGGTAAGAGTGTTTTAGCTCTCATTTCAATTATTTTATTGTCCAATTAGGCCGTGTAACGTTCTGGAATATTCACGATTCGATAAGGACGATGAGCTTGATTTAGCCGGTGATTTAGCCAGATTTTATACTGTTTTTGTCTCGATCGACTGATCGTTTATAGGGATTTAAGCGTGACCATAATAACAGAAAATACGCAAGTACTCTTTTCTTTGCATTTGTAGTTAATGATCATCAATAATTTTCCATTTAGGTTGCTAATTTCGGTTTTATACGCTTATTTAAGCTTAAGCTTACAATTGAAAATGGCTAACATGCACCGGAAAAATGAATATATTATGTAACGTTGCGTGACGAAGAGGCCTATTTTAATTATGTTTAACATAGCGACGTTTGCTTGAAGCTATTTGATGTTCAGTTTGGTTTTAAAGTTACATTGGTAATCGCTTTAAAATAAAATTTCAATCTTAAAAAGAAAATGGGGTATGTATGTAGCCAGAAATTATCTTGCGGTCGTAAACATTTTTCATATATTTTAACATTTTTCATTTTAAACATTCAGGTCCGATGTCTGTCTACAGATTCTGATATAAAGGTAACTTTGATGTGATTTACTTTTGATGTTGATGATGATTGCCAAGGTTTGGCATAAAATTGACCCTCTCACACCTAACAGAGACCGAGGTAATTAAAGCACCAGTCATTTGAAGCGCGGGTATCCCCGCCACCGTCCTCGGCTTTTGACCGCGGCATTCAATTTTTATGCAAGTGAATTATCTGGTCTGCGGGGCCAAAATGTATGGTAAATTCCCCTGCACCCTTTACAAAGCAACTTTCTTAGCTGCAAGAAGTGATCAAAATGTATGCAAAATTACTATGTGGTGCGTAAATGGGAATGCTGACCACAGAGTGCCTGCCCCGTGTATTCCCTGGTCAGGGTGGAAAAGACCATGATTTTAGTCGGTTATCTAGTCCTCATCCATATTATGATTTTTATTTCACTTATTTGTAACTAATTGTAAGTCTTTATTTCTTATATTTTGCACGCATTGTCTCACCTCGAATAGCCTTGCTACAACCTCAGACAAAACTGTTGAGACAATTCCATCTATTTTCTAACTTTTGCATCCTAATCCTGTCTCCTTTAAACAGAGAAAATAATCCCCCTCCCCACCCCCTATTAAAAGTTGTCTTGGTCTAAAAACCAACGTGTATAATTGCCATGCTATCCTAAACAACTTTGGATAAGGTAAGGGGGGAAATCGGGCATTCATTTGGCAGAGGTTTCAGTTTTTGCAGGGATGATAGGGAAAAATAGGCATTTTCGCGAGTTGTCTTAACAGGTTTTGTCCGGGGTTGTAGCTGCGGGCAATACTTTTGTAATTTTATTTGTTTATTAATGAAGTTTTGTTGTTGTTGTTGTTATAGTGTATCACCCGCCTACCGGGAAACAAAAATGGAGTGATTATGAAGTGAAAGGCCCCACATTACGCTGGTCATTCTTGGGGGGGGGGAGGCATCTGGGAATTTCAAATGACTGGTGCTTAAAAACTTCACATAACTTCTCCTCCCGAGCTGCCCCCTTCCCCCTGCGTAGTTTTGATACTCTTTGATCCCCACATTAGACTTGGAGTTAAAGCCATAGTACTAATAAGCGCTTACTCTTGATGATCTTACTGAAAAAAAGGGGACTGTAAACGGTCTATTATTTCACAATTTTATCATAACTTTGTTTATAATCCTTGTTTCCTAAGTATGACAGACTTGTGGTGGAACCGATCAAGTCACCTAAGCCCAAACCAGATGTTAATTCTTTAGTGTTTGGCGCGGAGTTCACAGATCACATGCTTAGTGTAGAGTGGACTGCCGTGAATGGCTGGAGTGAGCCAAAAATCACACCATATCAAAACCTGTCTCTTGCACCATCATGTTCAACATTACACTATGCACTGGAGGTAAGCTTCACTTACTTCTTTTCGACAATACATACTGGTTTTTGCAATTATGCTTTTTAGGTGGTATACCGTGAAATATCCCAGTGATTAGTGACTTGTTTTTTCTAAAGTAGATGGTTATAGTATTAACAAGACGTGTACAATGAACTATTATTATATAGATACTGATGAAATACCAGGATTTTTCCTTTTACTCAAAAATCATATCTTCATCGCGCACAGTGAAGATACTATTTTTATCTTTCACATGTGAGGATATTGCTGTTGCGATGGTTACTAACATGATAACTAACATAATTTTGACTTTTTGGAACAGAAAATATAAACTTGTTGTATTATTGTCTTTATTTCTCCTTTATAACTTTATATCTGAGTTTCATTACATTTTTGTGACTGGCATTTTGCGATAGGTGACCACTTTAATATTGCACTATTTTGCTGTTTCGAAAATGAATTAAAAAAGAGTTGTGTTTTATGTAGGAATTTCATCAGTATCTATAAAATAAACAGAACATTCATGGCCTCGTGGGGATACGAATTTTATCTTGTCGTGCTGAAAGTATCTCTCACAAGTGAGTGAAGCGAACCAGTGAGAGATACTTTGAGCACTGTAAGTTAAAATTCGTATCCCCGTGCTGCCATGTAATATCCTCTGTTTATTTAACTGAAAAAGTTGATCTTCTCAATTTTAACTAGTAATTGAATACAGCTTTAATTTTCTTTCTAGCAATCCAAAAAGTGACTTTAGACTCCTTTAAATTATTTTGGGATGATTTTTATACATTCTTTGTTTTCAGTGTTTTGAAGGCATGAAGGCATACAGAGGAGATGACAACAAGATAAGATTATTCCGCCCCATGGAAAACATGAGAAGATTAAATAGATCAGCTGACAGAGCCTGTTTACCTGTATGTTACTTTGTTAATGGCTTCCTTAATAGTTTGTTGCAGTAATGATAAGAATTATTAAATTAATAAAAATAGTGGCAGTCAAGATGTTCAAATCACCATCATACATTGATTAGTAAGGCCCTTAGGACACCTGTAGCTTTACTTTCCCTTTGTGATCAATATTTAACAATTATTGGACTAGGTTGAACAAAATATCGTGATTTGTCTCAGTCTGTGGCGAGCAGATCAATTATTATTTGCCTAAGCCGAAGGCTGAGGCAAATAATTAATCTGCGAGACACTGACAAATCGCGATATTTTGCGATAACTGAGTTCAATAATTGTTTTATTATTCGATCACCGAGTTTGTTTTTTTAATGAATATTCTCGGGAAGCAAAGCGATCAGCCATTTTCACGCAAGAATGATCTCAAGAAGGAGAAAAGCACAGTTTTCTGTGCAGAATTTTATTTGCAGCCAAACACAGTTGGACGGCATTGCGCATGAGCAGACCATTATTTGTGGGTAGTTATTTGCAGGTCATGTGGTGGGCTCTCAGCCAATGAAAAGAAAGAAAAGTTTGCATCGAATGATAATATGTATAATGGCATTCTTTCCTAAATATTTGTTCTAGTACAGTCAAACCCTGCTTTACGGACACACCTCGTTATTATAGACAGTTTGCTTTGTCCCTGGGGAAAGAAAACCTTTTTATTTTCTCTAAATTCAACCCACTTAGTACAGACACCTCATTAATACTTGCACTAATGGTTGACCCCCTCAGTGTCCTTATTAACCCTTTAAGTCCTAAAGGTGACTAACATCAATTTTCTCCTAACAATATCCATACATAGTCAAGAGATAAGGTTATGAGAATTAATAAAATGATCGCCAAAAAGAAAATGCCTCGATCTTTTGTTTTATTCTCTCAACTAATTCTTAAAGGAAATGTATAGAGATCTGTTTGGAGAATTTGTATGTGGATATTGGGGCTTAAAGAGTTAAGAGGGTTTGACTATACAGTATTTAGAAACAGTGTGGTTTTATTAGGGTAATGCTTTTAAAGTAAATGTCAAACAATGTTTGAAGTGCCAGGATTTGATATTATAGATGTATTCAATTTAATTTATTTTCTTATGTATTAGGATGGCGTATTTGTATTTCTCTCAAGCAAATAATATATATATGATATCATTGCTTTAAAAATGGCAGGGTTTTGATGGAGAAGAGTTTCTGAAATGCTTAAGGCACCTTGTGCACATTGAAAAAGAATGGGTGCCTTATTCCAACAAGTGTTCATTGTACATTAGGCCAACTCTTATAGGAACACAGGTAAGTTTCATTAAACGTTCTTCCTTTGGCTCTCACCTGTTAACCTGCTGAAGGTGGATTCCCCCTAAATTTTGGCGGTCAACCTATTATTAGCCAATGAACAGCCTGTGCTACAGATTGAACTAAAACTTTGGTTATAAAGTTTGTCTGCGAAATTGTGCTGAAATCCTTGTGTTTGTTCTGTGTATGAGGTTTGAGTATGTGCTATGATTAGCCTGTTGAAAAAGCCATTGTCAATTTGCTAGTCAGGTTGAAGGGAAATTTGAAACACATTTCCTTCAATTTGTTGCGTCTGTTGGTCGCCCAGAACAAGGATATCAGTGCTGCTTCAGAGATGTTATTTAACCAAGGTTATGTGTAGATTACATCTGTGACACAGGCTACCTGATGAACAAGTTGATCTATCCAAGTGTCAGCTTGATCTTCCTCTCCATTTTTGTATTTTTTTTCTTTTTTCATCTGGTTCATGTACATGTAAAAGATATATGAGCATATCATCACACCAAAGAAGACTATTATTTATGACTGAGTTTCTCTATCAAGAAGGGTTCCTCTACAGCAGTAGAACTAGAGGAGGGGCCTGGGAGAACCCCTCATTTTTAGACCAAACCCAGGCATGTATGATTATTATGGATATTTCCTGATTGCTCGCTACTCCTCACCGCCCCACTTCTCCCTCCAACCTCAAGGTCAGGATCTGTCAAATTAATGAAGTGTCCTTTTATTATAATAATTACTGTACATTATGTTTTTTTTTTCTAATTTGTGCTTCCTTTTCATTCAGCCCACACTTGGAGTGAACAAATCTTCATCTGCTCTCTTGTATGTGATTTTGTCACCTGTGGGACCATATTTTAAGACTGGCACATTCAGCCCTGTTGCCCTCTTGGCAGATCCATCATTCGTCAGAGCCTGGCCTGGTGGCTGTGGTGACTGCAAACTGGGAGGGTGAGGTGGACTGTAAATTGCACTGCCCTGTGAAAATTAATAAAGATAGTGCTTAAATATAACATTAATTAGCAATGTAAAAATTGTGGGTTTTTGGAGAATACCCTTGCCCACCCCCTTGTATTACAGCCAGACTTTTCACTTGAGATCTGTAATCTGGGCTACCCTGTGGGTAGATATAAGCAGCCCTGATTTCAGCATTAATAAGAGGTTGTAATAGGACGTTATGTTTCATGCCTAAGTAGTTGTGTTTTAAATTGGAAAAAAGCTTAAATTGTCACAAATTTTGTGTTGGTAAGAGAATTTCATATTGTCCAGTTCAGTGTATAATCATACTTGTGATTTAACAAATAGGACTCCCGCTAATGTGGTTGTCCGATTAAATTGTGAACCACTCATATGATTATGATTATAAGCAATTATTGGAGGAGGTTTTTGTGATATCCAGAATAATCAAAGTTGAGGTAGGGGTTATCAGCTGAAAATTCACTGTACGCTTTTGGCCAATCAGAAAAGAGATAGTGAGTTGCATGTATAATAACAGACCAAACTGGACTTCACGTAGTCTTAATACCATTATTAATACCTATCATTTACTTTACCAATGAACAGAAATTATGGTCCTACAATCCTTGCCCAGCGACATGCAGAAATGCAGGGATTACAACAGGTGCTATGGCTGTTTGGTGAGGAACGGCAGGTGAGAAGCTCTACTTTAGCTTTAAACAACACTTATGGAGAAAAGAAGTTGGATAGTTTTTTTCTTTAACCAGAAAAACTGGAATTTCCAAGGGGTTCTGGATTGAA